GTATGAAAACAGACAAATACTAAAGTGTCCATGCTTAGACATGATTTTACTTTATAAATCGTTTTGTTTGGTTTTTGAGGTAAATTTTGCACTACTAATTCAAAATTTGCACTGTTGTTTCAAATATTGCACTAATGCTTTGAAAATTGCACTAGTTTTTCAAAATGAGGAATAGAAGGATAAATCTCACATGTTTATCATCCTTTAAGCAAATGATTCTTACGAAAACTTAAAAAAAGCAAAAAACAAACAACAAAAAATCAAATTTTAGCGTGGTTAACTTAAAAAAAACGGAAAGACCCTAAAAAGCTACATGATCTAAATGAATGATTAAAAAAAAACACTTCGTTTATTAACACCTAAAAACTCCAAGCACGATTTTCAACCTTGTCTTCAAAAAAAATTCAAATTTGCCTCTAAAATCAACTGGCAGCAAACTCGAACAAAAGTCAACCAGAAAAGTAGATGAAAAATTAGAGCAAACCCAATAGGCTGTTGGAAAATAATCAATGAACTCAATAAAACGTTAAAAAATGACTTAAAACAAATCCTCTTAACCCTTTTTGGATTTCCAGACGAATTAATGCTTGATAATTTTTTGTTACATTTAATTCAATTCGAGAAAGTTCGATTAGTAGGTAAAATTTTCCTTCCGTTGGAAAAACTATAAAACATATCCCACTTTCGGATAGAAGTGGTTAAAATAGCTTGCGCCATTCCTACGCTGGTACTTGGAGAGTGAAATTTACCAAAATTTCACCAGATGAAGTTAAACCAGTGAACGCGAGTAAACAGAAAAAAAAACGAACTTATTTTTTGAAAAATACTCCTTCTTCGAAATTTTAATAAAAAAATATATAGCCTACATCTCTTTGAAATTTTTGTAACAAATAAAATGAAGATTTATTCATTTTCGATAAAACCATCCCATCTTGAGAAAATTGAGCAATAGATAAAAACAATTTTGCTTGGTATAATTGGTACAGTTGATATAATTGATTTAATCGGTAAAATTGATACAATTGATTTCCACGTTCGAAACTAGAATTCGGTCACAATTTTTGTGAACTTTTTTATTTTTGCTGTTCGATAATGGATTTTGCCTTCCTTTCAACGAATTGAACGAATTGAAGGAAACGAATTGAACTTAAAAAGAAAGTCAAAACGTGAAAAGTATTATTGAGCCTGAACAAATTTTGAGGTTTTTACTGAGCAAAGAAATTAGCGCGACCTATTTGAGACTGATCTACTCTCATTGACTGTTAACTGAACTAAAAAAAGCATAAATATCCAAAAGCATTCATAAAATCAATAATATACATAAATCCAGATCTAAAATTATCAAAGCATTTTATGTCTTTACCTGAAAAAAAACCAAAACCTGTATGAAAGTCTTCAACGACTCTTAAATTTGTAAATATAAATCATTTCGTTCTTTAATACTTAAACAAGTCATCCGCCGTTTTCAGCTGTTTTGGTACTCAAATTTGAAAATGCAAAAGTTACGAAATTTTCCTGCTATACCTAGGAAATAAATGGCTGCGCACCGCCCTTCAAGCTGTTACTTTTCTGGGGTAAAGTTAGAGAATAAATTACCACCCACTGCCCTTCAATCTGTTACTTTTCTGGGGCAAAATGTACATGTCCTTATAACCAATCCTCTCCCCTCTTTAAAACCCCAGATCACACTTGATTGGTGTAATGGACAAATGTGAACAATTAGTGGCGATATTTTTATCCTTGTTGCCGTTTAAGAAACAGATTCAACAGAAAATTGGAAATGAAGTCAGTGAATGCAAGAAACCAGTGAAAATACTGATGTGTTTTTTAAAAACATTTCAGTTTTTGATTTTTAGAGCGAAAACAAATATTACCTGAAAGCTCTTTAAATTTTTTTCTCTAATTATTTTTGACTTTTCAATAAAATTACCCCAATTTTTTCACAAAAAAAAAATGGTTCAATAGGTAAGCTTTTCATTTCGCCGGAAAATTTGAAAAATCAAATCCCTTTTTGAAACTAGAAATCGACCACATTATTCGTGACTTTTATAATTTTCTTTTTTATCGCTCATAGCAAAATTCTAATTCGATAGATCAAAATTGCTCAATGCAACTTTTCGAAATTTACAATGAACACAGAGGTGAAGCTGAGCTTCTTAGTACTTGTGATACACATGAATGACTATGATTAACATCAAACAAAAAAATTTAAAAAAATCGTTTTTGTCAAGTCAAAAAGAACTGCAACAAAATCCCAAAAAATCTGGAACAAAAATTGCCTTCACCATTTAAAACTCTACAAAGAGCTTTGGGAGAGCTATACAAAAGCCGAGTTTTCAAACAAAAAATCCATCCGGCGGAACTAAGCAGACAGACAGTAATTCAAATTAGCCAAAATTTTCTATTTGCAAGAACAGCCCTTAACTGTAATCCAACTCCCTACCTTTGTCGTCTCAAGCATGTGGGTTACAGCAACTTGGAATAAAGTTGAACATTTGAGCTACGGGAACTTAGCTGCCAAAAATAATCAGGACGATTGTCCGAAAAAGCACAACAGCTCTAGTTTGCATAAAGGCCCGTCCGGATTCGAACCGCAAGCCTTTGCAGTCTTAAGCCGTTGATTTAACTCTACGCCAGATGGATGATCGGATTTGAGTTTATAGTAACCAAGCAGTAACAGGATTTTTAAAATGCTAAAAATAAAATGCTGAATTAATAATTGCTTACAGATAAAATAAACTTTTCTTTGATGTTGCAACTAAGCCGTCAAAACATAAGCAGACAAATAGACTGAAAAATTTTTTGAACCGGAATATATACCGTGTGAAAAAAAAACAGGTTTCGGTCAAACTCGCATAGTTTTGTTAATCACTGTCATCCAAGTTTATCCTCTCGATTATTTTGGTGACCCACGCGACAATTTTGGGCATTCGTCTTTGTCCAAATTCGTACACCTAGAAGTGGTAAACATTAAACTGAAACTTAATTCATCTATATACACACCCAAACGAGACACTAATGAGCTATAGTAATATATCTGAAGTATCATATAAAATTTTACGAAATCCCAAGTCCTAAATGAGTTTACAATCTAGAGAAACTAGAAAACAAAATGCTGAATTAATATTTGCTTACAGCTGAAATAAACTTTTCTTTGATGTTGCAACTAAGCCGTCAAAACATAAGCATACAAATAGACAGAAAATTTTTTTGAACCGGAATATATACCGTGTGAAAAAAAACTGGTTTCGGTCAAAGTCGAACCCAGGAACTTTGCCGCCCCAGGCGTATTTGTTACCACCAGGCTAAGTATGCAAAAAACACTACATAAATCACTATGAACCAAGGTACCACCAGGAGTCCAATGAGTCCTGTGTAGAAAGTTGTTTACGAGAAACTCTTTTTTGAAAAAAAAATTCAACGTTCGAATTTCAAAGAAAAAAAAACTATTTGCACTTAAAGCTCTTTGAATATCAAGAAAATTTTTTAACCGATGCTTTTTTGATTAATTATCTCAATTTGAGAAGAATAGATCAATTAGTGAATTTTTAAATCCACTGGGAACTCTGAAAAAAATCCACTTTCGAAACTAGAAATCGATCACGTTTTTGGTGACCTCTACAATTTAACTGTTCGATATCAGAGTTTGCCTTCCTTTCAACCAAGAGAATGAATTGAACTTAAAAAAATCAGAAGCTAAACCACCAAAAATTTTTGAGCCTGAACAAATATCATTTTTCTATTTTTCTTGAACAACAAAAAAATTATCGCGATGTATATGAGTCACTGAGCTACGTTCTTCTAATCTTAATTGAACTCAAAAAAAATGTATATACTACCTAAAACATTCATAATTGCACTCATATATATGAAAGCACATCTGTAGTTTTAAGAGCATTTTAAATTTTTCCTGAAAAAGAAAATGTAAATAACAACCAAGACCTATATAAGAGACTTCACTACATTGATCCAATCTTGAAATTGTTAAGATTAATCACTTCGTTGATTAATACTTAAACAAGTCAGGCGCTGTTGTTATTCTAATCCTTATTGCCGTGAAAAGAGCAGTCAACAGCCAGCTGGAAAATAGTCAATGAATCGAAAAAAACAGCAAAAGTAATGACTTGTCTTTGAAAAAACTTCAATTTACGTATTTCATAGAAAAAATACATTCGCTGGAAACTCTTTGAATTTCAAGATCAATTTAAGATTGAATTTTCATACAATCACCCTGAACAATTGAAAAGAAAACTGAATCAATAGGTAAACTTTTCATTTCGCCGGGAAATCTGAAAAGTAAAATCCCTTTTCGAAACAAGAAGTCGATCCTGTTTTTCGTGACTTTTCCACTTTTGCTCTTCGATAGCTCATAGCAAAGTACAGTTCGATAGATAAAATTTGAGTCTGGATTAAGGCAACTTTTTAAAATTAACATTGAAACATTGTAAAATCAAGGCACCAAGAAGTTACAAACGAAAACATAGCCAACTGACGGTTGCAAAAGAGTAATGAAGGTAAGGAAACAAAAAACTCAATTTTTGAAAAACTTCAACGTTCGAATTTCAAATAAAAAAATATGCTCTCAAACCCAATTTGAGAAGATAAGATCATGAGTAAGTTCCACTTCCGAAACTAGAAATTGACCACATTTTTCGTAACCTTTACACTTCTACTGTACGATAGTGGAATTTGCTTTCATCCTAGCCCTTTGTTAAGAGGAAAACTAATTCCACTATCGTACAGCAAAGTGTAAAGGTCACGAAAAATGTGCTCGATTGCTAGTCTAACTCAACTGAACTGAAAAAGAAATCAAAAGCCAAATTTGATCGTGACTTTTTCCTGAAAAAAAAACATAACAAACCCAAATTCATCCACACCTATACAAGAGTCTTCACTACGTTCATTGACTCTTAAACAGATATAGAATATGACCTCATAATATGACTTATTATCAAATCGATGAGATACATAATATGATAGATATAACGATACAGCAAAAAGTTAAGATCAAATCACTTCTTCGCAGCAGTTTCTCGCATAGTTTTGTTAATCACTGTCATCCAAGTTTATCTTCTCGATTATTTTGGTGACCCACGCAACAATTTCGGGCATTCGTCTTTGTCCAACTTCGTACACCTAGAAGTGGGAAACATTAAACTGAAACTTAAGTTCATCTATATACACACCCAAACGAGACACTAATGAGCTATAGTAATATATCTGAAGTATCATATAAAATTTTTACGAAATCACAAGTCCCAAATGAGTTTACAATCTAGAGAACTCATTAGTCTTATCTCTAAATTGCCAATCTACAAGAAAACTATAGTACATAATACTATGACTTAGAAGATGATTTGATTGAGTATCTTTTGACTACAACATCATGACCTCTATGTAAAGATCCATTAAGGTATGAATTACAAAAAATTGACCGCAGCTACCGATGTTCAGTGTTCATTAATTGAAGTTTATGTAAATTTCCTTCCAAAATATAAAAAAAAATGTTTCATCCTGTTGTGCGACATCCTATCAATAATGAAAACGGGTTTTTTAAATTGTTCGAGCATTTCAAATCCTGTATCAAAACAGTGCCTTGAAAATGTACGAAAAATGAAGAAAAAAAAACGCAAATGCAACTCACCCCCTCGGACACTTCGTCATTTGGCTCCCCCTGCAGTCTGCTGTACTCTCCGTATGTCCTCACACACATGTTGGTGATGAGAGAGAATGCAAAAACTCGCATGCCCAGGTAGTTGGCCATTTGAACTTCAGGGATCGTACTCATCCCTAGAATACACAAGCAGCTTACTCAAGTACTTAAGTAGTAAATCCACTTATCAAAATACCCCGGCCCAACCTCCACTTAGTTAAGAGATCCAAATGATTAGCTGCTTAATCAATTTTATGGTATTAATCCCCCATTTGATTTTATTGCTATTACCCTGACCTGCTGCATCTGCTCCGCCCCTAATGAGGAATTTGGACTCTGCTACAGTCTCGAAACTAGGTCCATTGATGATACTGTACACGCCATTCTAAAATTAAAAACTCATTCTCAATCAGTTTTACTGATCCATTGTTGAACCAACTGGGAACAGGTAAGCTGAGAGTTTTCTCGTAGTTGCGTCTCAAAAAAATCCCAGATGTTTGTAGTTCCTAGTCTTTTTTGAAATAAGTTCGCGAATTCCCAATTGTCGCGGTGCCTTGAAGCATAAATTATTAAGCAGTACTTGCTCCTTATAGGAACATCTAAAAAAAATAAAACTAATAAATTCGCAGATAAAAAACAAACAACGATGACTGCTGATGCTGATATTTTTTTCTGATCCTCAATTATTGATTTAAAGGCAAAGAAATGTTTTGACTTTTCTCCGACAATATTTGCAGCTTATTTCAATAAAATCTATCCCTCAGTTGTCAAAATTACCATTTCGATTCAAGGACCGTGAATCAAATTAGGTAAACAGTACTTCCAATTTTTCAGCCTTGTTGGGCTTCTCATGTACAAAGCTGTGCATAAAAGATTATCCCTACATCGTTCCTCGAAGCAGTCCCCATAAACCATCGTTAAGTCCTTCCGCCTCTTTATATAAATCCAAAACTAAGTTTTCTTGTATTTCTTTATCGTATAGCGCATAGGGTAGATGTTAACGTGAGTGAAAACAGTTCTCGACAATCAATTGAGATCAATCAATTCTGGTCAATATTCATTAACATTATTCCGGGAATACGTTTCAAACTCTCTATCGAAGCCAAGATAGACCATATTGTTAAATTAAACAAACTAAGAATCTGTTGTTTGAGTTATCGCGAAGTAATCAGGTTCAGCGGGTCAAAGTTCAGGCAAAAGTCAGATCTGCGGTGGAGATGATTATCAAAAAGATCATTTGATTAATCATAGTTACAGACAGATCCCAAACAACAAAACCAACGATCCTGCCGCAACGTGGTGCCCATTTCAACTCCTACCAGCCAGTACATGTTATAAACTAATTGATTTTAATGGATTACAGAGTTTAATAATAAATTGTTTTCGAACCAATAGAATATATATAGAATGAGGCGCGGATCTCGGACTTTCTCGGAGGGGTGTGCGGATTTTAAAAAATTTTGCCGACCTTTTTTGAGGTGTTTTTATGCACTTTTTGGAAAATTTCTACCAAAAAAATCCAAAAAATTGCATTTTTTTGGCGCCCGCTCCCCTCCCCCCCCCCCCCCCCCTCCTCAAAATTAGTATAGATTGGCGCCCAAGGCGCCTTTAATTTAAAAATTTTAGGGTCCGTCAGCGACAAATGCATATCTCAAAACAGTACAAAGAGTGGACCCTTTGGATCGGCAGGGGGTCAAATCGGCTACTGTATAGAATATATATAGATCAATTAGACATCAGATATTACATCGATGATTAGACGCAAACCTGTCACGTGATGCCTCAGACTTTCTTCTAGATTTCACTTACTCTGAGACTTTGTGAAAACCCAGGCACCGTCTTGGCCGCCTCATGCGCGTGATGTTGCAATTCAGTGTCATAGAAGATACTGATGAAGGGAAACCCTTTCTCGGGGTGAACTATGCCTCTTAATGCATTGTCACCAGTGAGATTAATGTGGTCTTTGATGACCATCACGTCACCTACAAACAAAACCAAACAAGTATGGCTAGTTGCTGTGCAAGTAACACAATGTTCTGATTTGGTGCAATGTTCTGATTTGGTGCAATGTTCTGATTTGGTGCAATGTTCTGATTTGGTGCAATGTTCTGATTTGGTGCAATGTTCTGATTTGGTGCAATGAATTTTGAACGTTTATTCACAACTGGCCCCTTACGAGCTTTTGTCGAAGTGCCAAATACCGCAATTCCGTCCTAATCTTTCGAGAAGATACAAATCAATGCCAATACTTAAGTTAACAGAAAAATCTATAGTTTTAACATGAACCAGCGTGAAAAATTAAAAAACATGTCACTCAAACTGTTAAACACAATGACAACATGATTTTACACAACACCTGTTTCATATTCCTCGTTCAGTCCTCCTGCCGCATTGGATAGAATCAAAACTCTCACTCCTAAATTGTAGAGAATCTTCACTAACTGACCGATGTACGCGAAGGAGTAGCCTTCATAGAAATGAATTCTGCCTTGCAAACAGACCTAAAAAAAAAGTCATAATCTTGCTTTTCCAAAACCTTGCTTTTCAGAGGCGAAGTGCAACTTTGCATCATTTGCGATACAACACAAACATAGCATGTCAATCTAGCAGACCGTAAATGAGACGAACACCGCTAAGTCGAAAAAATAATAATATAAAAAATATCGAAAAAGACAGAAGTTTAGCATAGTTCACCTTGAGAAAAACGTACCAATAAAGACAAATGCCAGAAAAGAATTAGCATTGAAACTTAGGTGGTGGTAAGACGATAACACTTAAGCAGATACCAGTTGGACCGATAAAATATTGTTGTTATTTAAAAATTTTGAGCTATCAATTATTTTGACGGTCGAAATTGCAAATCCTCAACACACTAGCTCTCACTCGAAAATAGTTTCATCATCAAATGACGCAATTTGATTTGCATGAGTCTATCTCAAAAACCTTCTACCGAACTTAGCGAAAAAAATGAAAAACCTGAAAAAAAAAGAGTTTTCGAATAGTTTGCTTAAAGCGTGTTGGAAGAGCACGGAAAGTCAGTTCGGCAACCTAGAAAATACTATTTCAAATTTTTTCTTTTAACTCACCCTCACCCCTAGAGAAAATCTTAGGTCCGCGCCTGGATCAATAACCGTGAAAAACTATAGTACCAAAACTTGCAACCATTATCAAATTTCAAAATCAAGCAATAAACTTTACGCCCAAAGAATCCATGCCCAATTAACTGGTATCATTGCAAAAGGATTTAAAGCTTAAAAAAAATTAAACTTACCACTGGTGTGTCTGCGATCGAACCAAACACTAACCGGCCAGGATGTCCTTTTACTTGTGTCCTCGGGAAGTTGTCAATTTCATCATAGGAAATTTCTAGCGGATTCTTTATAACAGATGCGATTCCTGAATAATGAACGAGGGTACTGCCCAACGAAGTTCTGAAAAAAAAATTAAAATTTCTTACCTTGCAGACCAGTTCCTGTAATTATCCCTATTCTTTTAATTTTTGAATCTACGCCAGTTTTCTTAACTATTTGAGCAACAATTTCAGTATCCATTATATAGAAATTGAGTTCACAATTTCACCATCGAAATTTGTAGAGTGGCAAGAATGAAACCTTGTGGTCCAAAGCCAACAGAAGATATATCAAATTTTAGCTCTTCTTTGGCATCATAGATGATTAGCAAACATCGCTGCGATAAACTGGAGCATGAAAGAAGCACTGCTGCGTTCACAATTGTTGATTGATCACTTCTTACTCATCAATAGCAGTAAGAATAGAAGCTGTGAAATATATTATAACCAACACATTGTAGAATCGACAGATGAATCATAACCCTGTGTGTTCTACATGTAATCGATCAATTTAGAATATTTCCAGATAGCAGACGATCATTTTGGATTTGAAATAAGTGAAAACAAAAAAAACGAATACCTATTCTTCTGAATATCTAACCCACGAAACTCTGAATCAACGTTAAATTACAAAAGGGGCCCTTCCGTTTAGTTACGGTCAAAGCAGAAGCTGGATAAGGGACATACCAGCGTTATTAAAAAAAAGTATATATCAGCAAACTGTATCATTGTATCAATGAAGTCACATATCAACATTAAATGCATCGTCGTAAGGTTAAATTATATTAGCCGTTCTTATTACGTGTTACTCTTGATGTTAATAATTTTTTCTCCTTCTTCTGTAGTATTGTTGACTTATTTTTTAACTATTTTTTGTTTTTAGACAACTGATATTAGCCATCATGAAACTGATGGTAGCCTGGATATGGCTAGAAACAAACTGAAAAAATCGACTAGCACATGACTTGCAACAACAGCAGTGACAAGCCGAAATGAGAAAATTAGAAAAAAAAATTCTGAATGAAATGTGTCATACCGTAAAAAAAGACATGTTTTTTTTGACAAAGAAAAAGCCTAGTCTTGAAATCGTGTAGATTAGGAGGTTTGCTATTTTGATATAACTTGTTAATAGTTCTCCGAACAATATTTTTAGCAGAGAAATGCTTGTTACTAATATATTGTTACTGACCCAAAGTGGGGATGTTGAAAAAACCCTGGTCCTATCGAAACCATTGAAACAGTCTACGGTATCTGCTCAAAAAATTGTGCAAATCTTAAATTTGTTCATTTGAATTTTCAAAGTATTATTAGAAAACGGATGCAATTGAAAAAATTTCTTGATGATATGGGCGAAAATACAATTATAGGAATTTCCGAAACGTGGCTTAAAAAAGAAGATAGTGACAATTTATGGAATTTCCAACCTAGAACGCATGCGATGTTCAGATATGATAGGCAATCAGCGGTAAAAAAAGAAAGGCGGTGGCGTTTTCTTATATATACCAGTCAAATTGGCTCCGAAATTGAGGCCTGATTTAAATTTATTTGATAAATAAAAATATGAGTCAGTGTGGGTTGAGTGCAAATCTACATTTAACATTTCGAGTAAAGAAAAAATGTTAGTTAATTTGTGTTATAACCCAAGCAGATCAAACTTTATTGATTTTTTGGAACAATTAACGCTTAACATAGATAATGCGTTTTCAGTTTCTAATAAAATTACGCTTCTGGGTGATTATAACATAAATTATCTGGATAGCAAAGAAAAAGAAAATTTAGATTCTATAATTATTCCATATGGATTGAAGGTTTTTTGTCCAAACGATGAGACCAGAATTAGTTCCTGTAACATTCGTCTACTGCAGTCACACATGAGGCTCAAGAAAAATAGGCCCTATAACCATTGGCTCAAGAGTCAGGGACACTATCTCTTGTGTTTTTCTACCTCAAATCAGTCGGAGCCAATTCGGTTCGCTTGTGACATGAGACCAGGGAATTCAAACATTGGATTTTAAAGTTTGAGTTTGAGTAAATTCTGTTTGAGTTTGATGTTTGAGTTTGACTCAAACAGTGAAATGATGTTTGAGTTTGAGTTTGAATTTTTTATGTTGACACTCAATTTTCATGTCTTTAACCTTGGCATGACATACACCGTTTTTTGCGTAGATTCTATTGAAAATGACCAAATTGCATTTAAACCAAAACAACAAAAATCTACCATTTATTGGCAATTAACAGTAACAATTAGCAACAGTAGCAATTAACAAGTAACAGAAGTAAATCAGTTAAAGAGATAGCAGTTTTTATTCAAGAAAGCATTTCTTGCTTGATTTTCGGGCAACATGCGATTTTGCAAAAAGTTTCGAGAAATTCTTGTCAAAGAGAAAAGCCTCTCTGGGTCGGCACTTGTAGGTCTGAACGATTTCATGGCCACGTCTATATCGAATGATTGTTTATCATCATCCACATTAAAAGCGTCAAAGTCCAGCGTTGGCTGTACAGAATATCGAACCGATTAGATTATTCGAACCGATTATTCGACTCCGATTCGAAATGCCTGATAGTAATAGAATGTCAAAGATCCACGGAATTAAAAAATAATGCGCGATTTTCGTACGGAAAAAATCCTACACAAAAACAGGCAGGGTTTGAGTTTGAGTTTGATGTTTGAGAATATAGACGTCTACAGTTTGAGTTTGAGTTTGAAAGGAATAGTTTGAGTTTGATGTTTGACTGTTTGAGTTTGAGTTTGAACTCCCTGCATGAGACTACGACCCGTTACATGTGACATTCGACCAGAATGGCCAAAATGCAATCTCTGCAGAATTCGGAATTTTAGCAGTAAGCCTTCCGGATTGGTGGTTTTTAAGAACTAAGGGCGTTATTGGAACGTTTAGCCAAACGGTGAGGGCTGGAATATTCTAGTATTTTAAAATTTCAAAAATTCGAATGATGACGTCACATTTCTGAGAAATGCTGAAACGGCCATTTTAACAAAAAAACGAGTGAAAAAAAACACAACAACGTTAGTTGCGCTGACGATAACAACGACAATCGTGTTTGAAAAACAGCAGCAGATTGCAGAGAACGTTCCGAGTTGCAACTATTGTGCTGCTACAATAGTTGCAAGGCCGTTGCAAACAACGGTGAAGGGTAAGAAACCAGCCTTCCGGATTAGGAAGAAATCAAGATCAACGGGCTTGATTCAGCGGATTCAAGAAACCGGAGGGGTCTCGGGACGGAAAACTTTTATTGACTCGTGTGAACTTTTAGCATCCTGTCATGTCCTGACTTGAATTTAATTGATATTTGGATTAGTTTTGACAAGGATGAGGTGCTAAGAGTTGGGGGGGAAAGGGTTGATCCATCTTCGATGGAGATGATGATTTTTATCTACTGAACAAAAACAATAGTAATATAATAAATAGTAGCCCTGTTTTTAGGAGTGACCTCGTGGTCTGGGGATACTGAGACCCAGCCATGAGTTCACTATTTTTGCGTGTAATTCAGTTAATTTGAGCGTTCTGGTCGAAGCCGGAGAACAGTAACGTTTTTGTCGACCCGATGTTAGAAAAGACCACCGAAAAGTACTGGCTTGGTAGAGACGGTGAAAAACATGCAAAGCTCTGTTTAGACGCTGGCCAGTCGTCTTAAGACTTAGTTTTGTTATCCGTCGATATGTATCTTCCGGGCGAATGTTGCATGTATGTTTTTATGGCGCTCCTGGGTGTTATTCTTTTATAACATCATGACCGGCGGAACCGTTAACGAGCACTCCGCGCCGAGCGGATGCTCACATTAACGCCCTTAATAGGCCTAAACCGCCGGGGCGGAAGGGTAGTTCGGAACGCGGAGGCCTTTCGGATTGCCGTGAATAGTTTTTTAACCTAGTTAAGACCGAAAATTCACAAACCAGGAAGGGTGGGGGGATCGGCCGTTTCCTCGTCCCCTGAGTGGTTGGTGATCAAAAACACTTAAAGATATAAGTAAAACCAAACAAAAAATAGTATAGTACCCAAGAAAAACAAAAAACATAAAAAAAATAACCGAAAAAACCAAAAACAGTAAAAAAAAAGTAAAAAATCAGTAGAAATCATCCCCCCAGACAAGATGTGATTCAACCCCCCCGTTTGTTGTTGATAGATATATTGTTGTTACAGGCATTTATATCAGTCAGGATTGTTACGATCAATTTTGTGGCCCGTTTGTGAGGCTTGTACTGTAGAGTTATTTGAGCATTTAAGCACGTTAATGATAAATTGCGCTCAATCCTGAAGGGTCAGCTGATTTGCGCTCAATTCGGAAGGGTCCTGGGTGAAGACCGATCCGGCAAGCAGTACAAGGAGCAACAAGAAGGGGCTCAACGACAACAACAATCGACTGTTGGGTATCGTTAACAAGTTTTGTATCCCTTTTGGTACAAAAAGTAAGATAGTAATCTGTGGGGGGCTCGACAGTGCTGCACTGTAGTGACCCTTCACCGAACTGCGAATATCCGAGTTAAGCACCTTAATTCGGATAATAAACAAACCCGGTGGGGTATAGTATTACTAATATTATTACTTATATAGCCTATATTAATAGTCTTATATCGTTTTTCAGTTAAAAACAACGAAAACAGACCGGTTTTTAGGGTCAAAATAGCGATATTTTGATCCCCCCACAAGTCGCGATTTTTGAGATATCGATATTTTTTGAAACGGAAAAAAGCGCTAAGTTAGTGTGTTACATCGTAACTGCACTACTGTAATAAGTAGAACCGGTTAACTTTAGTTCGGAAGTGGTTGGAACTAGTTTGGTACCAAAAACCAAATTTTCCCATTTTTTGATAGTAAGAAACACTATAAAATCAAAAAATTTTTTGAAATCTTTGAGTTAGGACAGTAAAAATAGTTGTTCGGACAACGCCCACTAGTGAATCTACGAGTTTTAAAACCCGCTACCCGAAAGCCTTCCGGGTTGCAGAGAAATCGGACATAACGTGTTTGATTTGGTGGATTCATCAATCCGGAGGGGTCCAGGTAGCACAGTTTTTCGCAAATTTTTTCTACAAAAGCGTTTTAGATCGGGTCTTTTGCATTGAACTAGAAGAGTATAGGCCTTCTAAGCTCAGATCAATAATTTTTAGGTCGAAAGGACCAGATTTGCGGAAAAAGTTAGGCGGAACCTATAAGAGAGAAAATTTTTGAGTTTGGAAAAAAGACGTTTTGGTTAATAACTTTGGAACTACAGAGCATATCGAGTTGATCTTGGTACCAATAGATCAGAGATTAGCTGAGCTTACTGACAGGATTGGGAAATTTCCCGGAAAAACGAGCGAGAAAATTTTTTGAGATTGTTTTTAGCAAATTAC